TGGTTTCCACCAACAATAAGAGGAGCCCAGCTGAGACTGAGATAGCTGCCTTCAAGGAGGGTGGATAAATCTCCTAGGAGTCTCATCCATGTTGCCGAAAATCAGGGAAACACAGTAACTTTCCTCTGTCTTTATTAGGTATAAAGTAGTGACAAAGGACACCAGAGAGGGGCAGCCAGACACTCCAAAGGGGATGGGAATAGGGATGGTGGTGGCCCCAGTCTCTCCTAGACGAAAGACACTCTGCCTGCCAGCAGCCTGAAGGTAGAAAAGAGACGTCTTTGCTCTCTTATTTATGCTTTCCTCATAGGATTGAATCGCCTTTTTTTCTCTCTGCCCTGATGTTAGTGTCTCCTTTTAGTTTTTCAACCAGATGCTCAAATTCAGCCAATTTTAACAGCAAGGCTAAGGTCTTAGAGAAGATCAAACTTCTAGACATGTAGGAAACTGTGGTGTTTAGGCAGAAGTATTGCATCTTGTTGTTGTCCTGGAGAGGGAAATCAAAGAGCCCACACTTTGGCAGTCTGAGGAGGCACAGCAGGTTCTTGCTGTCCAGTGAGGGTGTGCTGCCCCTTGCTCAGCCAGTGATCTTGCAGGGGCTTTAAAAAGAGTTGAAAAATTTGTGGGAGAGTCACATTTTCAGGTCAACGTACAGGCTATTGTGCACAGGCAATGTGTCTTTCAGACTTCTGTCATAAAATGGATAGGGAAATAGTTCAATCTTTCACCAGTTTTCACAGTCTTTCCCATAGCAGCTTTATTCTCTAGATGAAAGGAGACTCGCTGTAATAACTGTGTATGTACAAATAACCAAACAAACATTTCCAGGTACTGTTTCTTAACAACTCACATTCATTGATACACATAAACATTGAAAGGAGTGGCGCATTCAGGTTACTGAAAAATATGTATGTTTTGGTATTTAAATATCTCTGCATAACAACTCTGAATAAAGCAGCATGGGGAGAAAGAAGAGATGAAAAATGTCAAGTGACTAAACAGGCTTTTGTGTCACCTGGTCCTGTGTTGCTGCATGTGGGTGTGTAATTTTATTTATTGGGAATATTATTTTGTTAGTATTTTGTTAGTATTATTAAAATTATAGAAAATACTTCCTCTAAGAATTCTGATTGCCTCTTATCTGCATGAGGTATATATTTATTATATAAGTATTATGTTGCTTGTTGCTGTAGACTGTCAATACAATACTTTCAGTTCCTCCTACATTCCAAACTATGAAAAGAATACTGATGGCCAACCCCCAAGTATAAAACACCCTTCACCAAGTCAGGAATGGAACAAAGCATTGTCCTGCCCTGAACTGCATTCCAATGCATCCTACTCCCTTTAACTGCTTGCAGCAATAATCTGTGCATGAGTGTATATCTACATTTTAAAATTGCCCTTGCATGTGTACTCCTTTCATGATCTTTGCAGGCACAACCAGCACAGACACCAAGTAGTGCCTGTTCTGACAGGACATTTGATGGCATGGAGGTCTGTTATCCAATGTCTCAGAACGTAAAAATTGCCTTGGGAAGACTACAAAGGGGCAGGACTGCAAAGTCCTTCAGATGAAAGCAACATATTGGTTTTGCTGCACAAGTCTGAATGCGTTTCACAACACATACATGATGGAGAGATGAAATCCTGCTCCTTTGAGGAAACCACACTGAGCTTGGTGGTGCCAACAGGGCAAACAGTTGGATCCCACTGAGTTGCAGGTAGTGGAAGTATAATGCTTTTCCAAGGACAAAGATGAGTCTTGTAGGTCGTACTGTGGTGGAATAAGGAAATCTGCAAATTAGGGTTGCAGGTCTCCAATGTGATTTGTGGGGTTTGAACCAGGGAGATTGGTAGAACTCCATGCAGAGTTGGATCTCCATCTCTTCAAAATTACAGCATGAGTCCTGGAGGGAGGGATTTACCTCACATAGTTTTCTCTATTTAAAAAAAAATTATATTTAACTCAACTGAGTCAGCAGAATATTTGTGGTTGTTCACAGAGAGAAAAGTTGCAGTTGATGTCAATCTGAAATGGGCTTAGAATGAAAGTAATTTGGGATAGAAACTCTACATTTGCTGCTTGAAGAGGCTAAACTTTGTTTTCAGGCAACTACTTTAAAGTGAGATAGACTCCTTCTGAAGGGAACTCAGATCAGAACTGATAGGAGCAGACACCTTAAATCTTCTGGAAATATTATCTAATATCTGGGGTCATCTCAGATGTCTAATCGTCTTTGAAAACTGAGCTCTGAGCTCCTGTGCTTTCCACTTTTATTTGTTTCTTCAAAATGAGTGGTTTTATGGGTGGGATTAAGTCACAGAAGTTGAGAGAGGCTGAAGATTTATGAACAGCTATGAAAAAGTTATGGGCCATAATGTTCTTAAGGTGGGAGGAGGCTACATTCGATGTTTCTACTTTTGTGCCTGTGATCCTGTGCAAGTTCATTCAGAAGGCCACAAATGAGAGTGTCAGTTTATAAGTCACCAGCCTGTGCAGTCAATTAATTGCTGATTAACTTCCACTGGCTGCCAAACAGGGTCTGGAAGTTGGAGATAAAAAAATTCAAAGTCACTTTAAATTTTTTGAAAAATTTTGCTTATTTTCCTGTATTAGGAATTTATGTCATGGTAGCAAAATGCTAAAAACTCAAAAATACCACTATTTGAGGTATTATTGGTAATCGTTGTGTGTGTAAAGCATGCTTAGCACCCAACAAAAATTAATACAGATACTGTTAACTTTGTGTAGATGACACAAAGGTAAGAAACTTAGGCTGTTACCAGCAAAAAAATCAAAAGCAACATTTTCAGTAAGGTCCATGAGTAGGATATCTACTGTCTCTTGGAGGATTTCATTCAGGAGCTACTTAGCAAGGCCTTGCACATGGCAGATCCTTAGTGTAAATAACTGGAACGTGTAAATCGCTTTCTTGCCTATGGAAAAAGAGAGATAACAACGACCGAAGGGTCAATACCCTTAACTTTTAAGGAGGGTGTTGGCTAAATTAAAAAAGATTGCCATGTGTACTCTGTCTGTTTAAGGTAAGTTTAGATCCAGGGTATCAGTGATGTTTCATTGTGCCAGGCAAAGATGCTGGTGAGCTCAGCCATCACCCACCCTGGGTGACTGTGGTGGCACCTGAGAGGAAGCAGAGAGCTGGGGCAAACATGTTTGGTGAGAGAAACCCAATATGCAAAACAATGTAAACACTGAATGTGAGGGAAAAAATGTGCAGCAAAACTCACATCCCAAGAATCTCAGTCCTGAGTGGGTCATTTGTTTATCCCACCAGTCAAACCCGACTCTGCAGCAAAGCAAGCCAAAGAAAGTCTCTTTTATTGTTTCCATGATGCTTACTCAACTATAGGCCATTGCCCTTTTAGATTATTCTATTTTTAAGGCATAATTTCCATCTGTCCTTTGATCTTATACCACATAAGACATTTAGCTGATAACATCATCCATCAAACACCGACTTTCCTTTAGAGTTCAAACACAGTCAGCACAGGACCCCGTCCATCTGCTGGCCAGTGTCTCTGAACAGATTCAGCTTGTGAATGGCCAGCTATGTTGCCTATTTTTTAATTAACCAGCTTAGGTCTGTGCTTCCTGTAACGCCACAGAATGACTAGGGGTAACTCCACAGGGAAGTGAAATGCCCTCCCCCTGTGGAACTAGAGAAGAGGGTTTGATGCATCTAGAGCTGTGATGTGTTTGTGGTAAATGGGGTTGTCTAGTGGATGATTTCTGCCTTCAGTCCCTCAAGGAATTATATATTTTTTTGCATAAACCACAATATTGTAATAAAAGATTTGAAGGATTTTTTTCCTAAATTGGAATTCTTCTGAGGAAGGTTCATAAAACAGAAAGACAATGTTTTCTTCTGTGAGCAAACTTCTGAGTTTGTTTGAGGCAAACTTCAGAGTTTCAGGGCAGGCTGTCTGAAGCAGTGGAATTTTATATAGAAAATGCTTGTCTTCTTACCCAACTGGAGAGCCAGGGAATGTCAGATGATTTAGGTGACCAATTGTAGTGAAACAGCACAGCCTGAATTCAGAATATCTGAGATCAATCGTAGTTAAAAAAAAAAAAAAATCTAAGAAAAACTTGTCAGAAGAAAAAAAAAAAGGGAGATTAATGAGTAATCCAGGAAAAAGGTAGTTTTGCTGTGGATATTTTCCCACTGCAAACTGTTATCAAATTCTTCAAATCATTACTGTCAGATTCTTCAATTAGCTCTGTTACCTTGCTTCTCAGTGGTTTGCTTTATCCTGCACACAGTGCAGTTGTTTAGGAAGGAATTTGATTCAGGATTTATATTCCACTGGCTTGCATATACCACAGTGTAAGTATCTCCAGATCCGAAACAATAACAACAATTAAAAAAGCGCTTACATTTCCTTCTATTTCCTGGCTTGCCAATAATAAGTCCCTGCAGAGGGGAGCTTGGCTGGTGGTGTTTTGTGATTTCTCAGATAACAAGAGCTTCACATTTCTGTGGAATTCCCATTTGCCAGTGAGCTGCTGCTGCTGCTGCCCTGATTGATATATGACTGCAATGGCACTTTTCCATTTGACATTCCCTCTCTCTCCCTCTCTCTCCCCCTCTCTCTCTTAAACAACAGCCCTAACTTTTGTGTGTTGCAAATATAAAAGGCAAACCATGCGACAGAGGGACAGAAGAACAAAAGCATTTGGAAGTAACAGGACCTCTTTTTAGTTCAAGGGGAGGAAGGAGTGGTGCATTTACCAAAGGTAAGAACACAAATTAGAGATTCCTACAGATTTTGCCTATTACATGGACTTAAACTGAGTGCTTACTGTCTTTCTCCAACATACATGTTGTCCTTGTACCATTTTTTAAATTGAAGTGTGTTTAAATGGAATCAACACAGCTCTAATACCTGTGTCTCCTTCTTATCCTTGTACCTTTATCTTCTGTCCAAAGGATGCCTGCAAGCAGTCAGACAGGTAGCCCGGTGTGCTTCTGAGCAACTTGGTTAAACATCAATTCCTGTGAGCATGCGGGGCTCCTGCCTGCAGCTCTGTGCTGCTCCTGGCTGTACGTTTTTGGAGTGAATGGACAGACTGGACTCTGCCCTGAATTCATGGGGAGAGCGCTGGTATCGCCAGCACCCTCTTTGTCCCACTACAATGGGGCTCTATGAGCATAGGCAAGCCAGCTAGTTTAAAGCTGGACTGTTTACTTCTATCACTCCTTACGCATGCTGTGGTCTTGCCAGTCATCTGCCGGAGGGCTTGGAATAATTTTGAAACAACGGGCAACATTTATTTCTAGCTTTGTGTGTCACGCTTCGCGGGAGCACTCTTAATTTGCACATTATTATTTACCCAAACTTCTGCGAGGCTTTCCCTGTGGACTGGGGCTGGCTGTGGATTAGGACGGATTTAACATACACTCTTGATTGGCTGAAACCTGTGAGGGAAGCCACGGTGTTTGCCTTTGCTGTAATGCCGAGGGGTATATTTAGTAGGTAGCCGACCCCGCCAGCGTGACACGTAATGCGGCGTGGCTGTGCAGCCGGGAGCTGACAGGGAGGATGCTGCAGGACCTCAGACCTCCAGCTGAAGGAGAGAGGGAGACTCTCCTCCGTTCCCGGCAGATCATTTCCCTATGTGTCAGCGCCAGAGGCACGAGCATAACTGTTCTCTGTTTCTTTGGGACAAAAGAAGAGTTTCACTGTTATGAGCCCAGTGACAAAGTGTCCCTGTAGTGGCACTGCGAGGCTCGGGAAAGGACGCTGCCCCGGGGGAGCCCGGCTGAGGAAGAGAGCCCCGTCTCCCCGCTGGGATTCAGGTGAGTGAATTCATCCTGTAAAAGTTCAGATGAATGGGTCCAGTGGCAAATAACAGAGTAAAAAAGATGAATCATGTGAAGACCAATCTCAGTCCTGGGTTAGATAACTGCTGCAGTGTGTGTTGGGGGGGGGAGGGGGGGGATGAGGGGCAATTTTCTTGTGGCAAATCTGAATTTACAAGATGGTGTGTGTATGTGTGGACTGACTCTCGTGGGACTGTCAGGCAGATTCCTTATCCTAAACCTCAAGTTTGTTTAAAGTGCTCTCATAACACCCCCCCCCCCATAACACTTCTTATTTGTTTCTGCTTGAGACAGATGGCATGGCAAGTAACCTTTTAAGGTTTCTGCAGCTCTTGAAAGGTGAAAAAATTGATTCCTATATGATAAATGTTACTTATAGTTTGTAAAGCTTTGTAACTGTCCCAGTGGCTGAGGTAGGAACTCTGCACTTTGAAAAAGGACAGGCAAATGATTATTTAAAGCCAGTAGTGGGGACAATTTACTTGAAAGCAAATGATTATTTGAAACCAACAATGGGGACAAATTAACTTCAAATCAGTTCCTTATTGCAAAGTTACTTTCTAATAGAAGTAACCCAGGTGCCTGGTTTGGTCAATAGATGTGGATGTAATAATCACTGTGCTGTTAGTTGTCCCTCCTCAAAAGAATATAAGAATATCTACATTTCAAGACCTTTTCTTTTTTTTTTTTTTCTTCCTCCTTTCTTTTAAATTACTAATGATGCTCACTTTTGTGTAGGCTGTGTGGTCTTACTCATATCTGTGAGTAGTTATACACATGAATAATTCCCTGGACCTAAACAGAACTATTTGGTGAGTGATTACTTACCACCTTGAGTCAGGGGTTCCCGATGTGACTTGTACATACATGGACATGCTCTTGCTAGAATAATGAAATCTTACTTGCAAAACTAGTATTACAAAAAAATGCTTTAAGATTTTCCAGTTAAAAGCAAATGTGCTAGGAGTAGATGTTTCAAGTTTGAAAAGTAAAATGCAATTTGATTTGGAGACAGGGTATAATCAGGAGCTGCTGCTGATTAGTTACAAGCTAACTTATCTACCTGAAGGTGTCCCAAGTAGGTTTCCCAGGACTGTGCAGCACCTGGTTCTGATCAGATGCCTGTATGCTGATGACTGCCCCTTGCAGAGCAGGATACTTGCTATGTGTAGTCTTGTGTACAGTTTGCAGTAGCAGTGCTCCAGGAAGCTGCTCATACATGGCTGATTCCCACAAAAGCTACCTGTCCCACTGGAACAATCTCTCACGTGCTGTTGGGGCCTGTGATAGCATCTGTGTGTTCTTGCCTGCTTGTGTTGCCAGGACTGCAGTCTCTTTTGCCCAGGTGGGAGCTCACGTTGATGCCTGCATTGACTCATTTGACAGGCAGTCCTCCTGGAGCTGGCTTCGTTCCCCATTTCCCCTGAGGCTGACTTTGTTCCCTTCCTGGTTTGTCTGCTCTCAGATGCACTAGGAAGTGCTCAAGGTTGTTCTTGGACCTTGAAGGGAGTTGACTATCTATGCTACAAAGCTTGCATGAAGCCAGTGAGACATTTGTTTTTGCAACAAATCTAGTGGATTACTTGTTTAACTGAAAGTAGAAAAAAAACCAAATCTCTCCCCACACCCAAATATCACTACTGTAACTACAATTATAAATATTTGATAGTTGTGTTACTATATTCCTCTGTATTACAAACTCCTCTGTCTCTAATGTCCTCCCAAGTATGAGGAGAGTCTTGAGTTTTAAAAAAGTTTTACTACATGAGGTGTAGTTTGTTATTTGAGCAATCCACCTCTTGAGCATGGCTGGAAGTGGCCACATCAAAGGAAGACATGGAGACCCCATGGCAGGCAGCTACAGGGTGACTTGCTGTGGCAAAGGATTTTCCCCTAACCCCATCAACAGAACCTTCAGCTTCCTAAGAGTTTATAACCCTTCCAAAAACTCTTTAAAAGTAAAGCCCCTGTGACTGTAACCCTCCCATGCATAACAGGTCCTTTTGCTGAGCCCAGCTCAACTTTTGCCCTCTGTGATATCTTGTTGCACCGGATTATTGTCGGTTGTGTAAACATGTGTTTCTTTTCATCAGTGTTAAGTGTTCTGCCGCTCAGCTCCCCTGTCCTTCTCCATGTCCTGGTATCTGGGGATGGGGCAAATATCCATGCCCAGATCATCCTTTTTTCTGCTGCCTGACTTCTCACTTGACAGCCCTTTTGCTGAAAACTCAGCTCAGTGTCAGGAGAAAGGTTTAGCTGGGTCAGGTTAGTGTGGGTGTCCGAGCCAAGAGCACATTGCCCATATTCTGTACATGCATATGAAGAGATGCTGCAGGCTCCTCCAACTATGATCAGCTGTTATTTCCTTTTTATCTGTGTCAGTGTGGAACATATTAAAATTTCTCAGTAGTGGTATGTAAGGAATCCCTCTGATGCCCCACCTCTAACTTAGCAGAACAATAAAAGCAAGGTTGTAGTAAGCCTTTGAGCAGCTGGCTGTCTATATATTCCTTCTTTTTTCACATCATCTAATTCAGACTATTATCCGGGTAGCAGTGGCACTACCACTTCCAGACACCATCAGTCCTTGTCCTGTTGGTTGGAATTCCGTTGTGTGGCATGAAGATCTTTTCTACCACAAGGCAAGTGTAGGCTCTCTTCTGGTGTCAGGACAGGGGGCTGCTGGTGCCGTGGAGACACCAGTCCCAGGAATTCCTCCTCATTGCTGTTTTTCAGCTTCCCTTTGTTAGTTTTCTTTTTTGCATCAATCATTGTTATGGCTCACACTTGTCACGTTTACGTGCTCGTTATTACTGAGCTGCCGACTGTGTGAGCCCAGCAGTGTGGAGGCAGCGCAGGTTATGTTGCCCTTTAAGACATGTGAGTTGAGGATCTGAGTTAATGCCTCAGCTCTGGTTTGGCAAAGGTTAAGCATACCATGGTAGTGACAATCACATTACTGTCATAGCAGCATGGTTCAAAGGGAGTTGGACCTAGGGGAACACTGCTCCCCTTGTTAGAAGATATAAAATTGTTACCATGAGCCAAATATTTAGGTTCCCTAATTGTCAGAGGTATATGGATGGTGGTCTGAATTTTGCTTGTGTATAAAAGAAGAAATGATTTTGCCCCTAACATCAGAAAAGAGGGAACATCCCCTTCTATCATGTGGTGTCTCCAGCAGGCATAGCACTCTGTGCTGGTCCAAGTGACAGGGATTCTTTGCTTAATATTAAAGAGTAAGAAACTCATTCCTACTCCTGCACCTATTGATAATTACAGCCTTTGAGTTCTCTGGGAGATATGCAAAAACCAGCGAACAAAACCTGCCCACCTGCTTTCAACACACTCCAACAGGTAGAGGACACATGCTTGAATGCCCTAGACCTCTTTGGCCAAGAGTCATTTTCCCTCATGTTGAGTCATAAGACTAAAGCAGAGGTAACTACTGAAGCAAATCCTATAGCTAATGCTTGGCTGGGAACATTTGCACTGCAGCCAGCAGCCACCCTTGCTGGTTTTCCTCCTGGAAGGGATGTGCAGCCTTACTTAGGCACCTCGGCACTGTGCCTGGTGCTTCACCAAGGAGTGATCCCATCCAGAACCCTCTGGATGACCTAGTGGAAAACTGTATTCCTCTTCTGTCCCAGACTCAAGACCATGACTCCTCTGGTGTTCAGCAAGATGCAAGAAGAAAGAAAGAATCCAAGGCTGGCATCACCTCACCATTAAACGGCTCTACTGGCTCATTAGAGAGATATCCCATGCATGCCCCTAATCAATCTATTTAAAGTTTCCTGGAAGCAGGAAAAGGAAAGAATAAAAATACAAGCACTCTTTTGTCCCCCAGTAGTTATTCTTTGTGAGTGCATTAAATCCTTTTCTCTGTGCTGGCCTGTGCCTGTCTGCTGGCCAGGTGCCAGCTCGCAGTACCCGCTGGAGTTTGTTATTTCAACCGCCTAGCAGGAAGGCACAGTTAGCTCCCCCTCTCCCAGCCACCTGAAGGGCTGGAAGTATTCTTGGAAACTCCTAAGGGAGAGGGAAGCTCAGCCCAGCTCAAGTGCTGTTCAGATGCATTTGTTCCATCTCATGCACCGGGTCCCCACGACACGAACACTTACAGGAGCTGCCCCGTCGGAGGCCAAGGAAACAGTCCCGTGCGTGCTCATCCCATATTGCTGATGCTCCCAGGGTGCTTCATTATATCTGCTGCAATTGTTATGTTGTTTCTTATGCTTCAAATGCCATGGTCTTCTCTTTTTTTTTTTTTTTTTTTTTTTTTTTTCAATCTGCTTACGGTCACAGGTATTAATCTGAAATATTAAAATACTTAAGGAATTTCTCCTCACAGGAGAAAATGATTTGCAGGAGTTTCTCTCATCTAGCAGATCGGTGTGTTTGACACTCTGACTGCTCAGAGGTGGTGTCCCTTCTATCTTCTTGGGCTTTACAGGACAATGTCACAAATTCACAAAGTATTCTGGGTTGGAAGGGACTCACAAGGATCATCAAGTCCAGCTCTTAAGTGAATGGCCTCTCTGGTGGTCAAACCCATGACCTTGGCATTATTAGCACTGTGCATTGTCAGCAGTCAGATGGTAGGACAGCACAACCTCAGTAGAACCAGAAGATGGTCTTTCCCCCTGTGGGCATCCAGAAGAACACATTAAAGTCCTTTTTTCTGAGCCTTTTTCCTTCCTGCTCCCTTCTCCCTTCCCCTCTCCTCTTGCCCACCAGCTGCTGCCAGCTCTGTCCAGGAGTGCACATTGTTGGTGCTCTCTCATGAAGGCACACACTGCCCTGCAACCTGCTGTGAAAGGTGTGGGTGGAGCTCCTCTACAATGGGTGAAGACATTCCCCTTGGTGTCAAAGGGACAAGCTTCAGCACAGCTGGATGTGGGTCGAGCAAATCCTCTTTGGCATAACACGGCCTGGGCTGAAGATTCACTTATTTAGACCTGTAAGGATCTCACTCAAAGTATTTTGTTTGGTATTTGCCCTGCCTCAGCACTGGAAGAAACCTGTTCAAACGCTGCCTGTGGAGGCATTTCCTAAACAACTGGAGTTCCCTGTGTTCACCTGCTGCTGCCCAGCTGCCACATGGCCACTCAGTGACTTTGTCAGGTGTTTTTGTGAGCAGCTTGCAGAGTGGAGAGATGATTTTGATAGCACATATAGGAGGCCAGCTCCCTCCCTGCTGGAACAGAAATGGCCACAGTGAAATAACTAGATAAGCAGATTATTGCATTTATTTGCTGAGCTAGAAGATACACTGGAGCTGACAAGGACTCTGAGTTGGTTCAGCAGAAAGCAGGATCAGACACAGCATCTCATCTGGGGTTCTCTTGTGCTGCATAAACTATTCTCTTAAGTGGCTCAGATTGTCACTTGCACCATTTAGTCCCACGGCACACAGTGCTTCCCAGGCATTTCCCAGGCATGGTGCCGGTGGTTGCGTGGGCTGGAAACCATCTGAGTGCTGTGGGTGCTGAAGGATCTCTGGGAATAGACCAAGCCACCCTTGTCATGGCAGTGGAGAAATTAACCCTGAAGAACAAACCTGGTGTAGCCTGACTGTTTTTTGCCCAACACAGTCGTTTCCAGTCCAGTCCAGACTTCAGCCATGAAGCCCCCAAATCCTTCTGGTCTAAACTTTTCCAGATTAGATAAAGTTCTTGAGAAATCCCTTCTGGTCTCATGAAGAACGTTGTGGCTTATTTTTGTCAGGACAGCAGCAGTGAATTGCACACACACACGCACACAGATATACACATATATGGTTAGTGACACTTTTTTAGGGCTGGAGTTTGGAGAAACTGAGTAGTCTTGTAACTCTTCTGTTTACATAACAAATTCAGAATGAGGGAACCACATGGTAGGATCCAAGTAATTGTGTTTACTAAATATGCACAGCATGCAAGGCCAGGCTTAAGTTATATATACACACCACTGCTTCAACGGGATTTTGGCAGCTTCCAAAACATAAAAAGCATTGAGTGACTTGAACTGTACCCTCATGGTCAAGCAGAAGTCTCAAACACAAAAAATGCACAGCAAATGAAGGCCAAGCTGAACATACATTCATGCCTAATTCAGAGGGCTCAGGAGCAGGGAACAGCCAAGTAGAAATATACCAAGTAGAAATGAGCTTTTCCATTGCTCCCTTCCTACCTTCCGGGGTAAAAGCGGTACAGATCCAATAGACCTTTGGAGAATTGCTCAGCTCTTTATTTTTTCCAAGACACATAGCAAAAAGGGGATTTCTGTTTACGTTCTCACAAAGCCACTGGCTAAATAATTCCAGATGATGGAATTTTCTTCTGTCCTTAAAGCAAAACAAAACCTTAACCTTCACCACTCTCTAAATGATACTAGGACTATGATAAGAAATCTTTATTTCAGCATTCAGAAAGCAGTTAATAAGAACAGAGTTGGAAAAATAACTCTACTCTTATGTCCAAGTGCAGTACAGTCTTGAATTGTATGTTACTGTGGTCTTTTTTTGGGATGTTTTCTATTTTTCCCTAAAGCTGTTAGGTAGCAGCTGTAGCAGTTTTAGGTAACAGCTGTAACAGCTTTTAGTGTGTTATGTCTCTATGAATTCCTGCAACCTAGTTATATGGAAAGGGAACTGTAAGCCTGTTACTAACAAAATGTACTGCCCATATCAGTGAATTCTGAAAAAAATGTGAAGCAGTGATTTTCATCCACTGTAAGGCCAAATATTTTTGGAGCCAATTTTCAGCCTGAGAATATGAAGTCACCTTTTAATCTTTTTCTTTACAGAAGAGGAAGCATTTTACCTCCTTTTTCATTAGCTTGGCAGATGGGCCGTCTACCACAGTTTTTACATGAAAAGAAACTGAGGAAAACACAGCTGAAATAGAAGAAAAAAAATTTTCTATGTCAAATTGTGAATTTTATTAAAAAAAGCATATTTTCCAAATGAAACAAAATGTCATCAATGATGATGATTAATGATTACAGGTGTACTTGCTTCTGGTTTTGGACAGAGGAGTATGCTGGAAACCTCATATGTCAATCCTGATATCTTGTGTGTCTAGGATTTTGTAATTTCAGCATTTCAAAAGGAATACAATCTTTAACTTAAAAAAAAAAGAAAAAAAAGAAAAAAAAACTAAGTTCAAGTGAAATACCACTGCACAATATCAGCTGGAAATGGAAAATGTCATGCCAACATATCTCGTCATGGTGATGTACCCGTGTGAAAATGTTTATACTTTTTTTTGCAGAATCAAAAATCTACAGTCTAACTCCTCTATTTTTAAATATCCCTCTAAGACTTTTTCTTCCATATATATTATACATGGCCTATGTACTTGAGAAATGTATGTGCATACTTCCCATAGATATGTCAGGAGATACACCTACGCACTCGTTTTGCCAGTATGTCTATCCACAACTGTACACAGCTTTTTCACAGAAGATGGATCACATTTACATCTGTTTTCTCTCTCTCTCTTTTTTTTTTTTTTTTTAATAAATATATGATAACAGTAGGTTTTTTTCCTCTTTCAAACTGTTGTTGCCAAAGCCTGCTACATTTCTTTGCTAGGGCAATTTTAAAAGATTGTGAAAGTGTTAATACTTCTTGTTCTGTGCTTATCCTGAAGAAGGTACAGCCATCTTCCTTTTCTCACACTTCTCCCTGTGTCTTTCCAGCTTTCTCACAGTGTTTTCATGAGGCAAACTCTGTGTCATCCAATTATTTCTTGAAGAAAACTAGAGTGATAAGCCTTTGAAAACTGAGCCAGGACTCCAGATTTCTCTCACTGTATTAAATCATACTGATCAAAAAAATGGAAAGATATAGGAGCACAAAATTAACAGTGGGACAGAGAGAATGGGAAATGAGGATCCCTGGATGTAATAACACATGAGATGAGAGCGCCTAATATCAAGTAAATTTATTTGGACAGAGAGGGAATTACTGGGTGTGTAATACTGATTAACTATGTTGGAGAGAGACCTTGCCAAGCAGCATGTTTTGGTCAGCCTCTTTATAAAAAAGAATAGGAATGTAGGTAAAAGGTTAAACATAGAGGAAAAAAAGAAATTGCATCACTTCTCCTGTTAGATAATCCTTGGGCATCATCTACATGAACTAGAGTAGAACAGCTCACTTCTGGGAGGGATTCTGTCCCAGCTCCCATGACCCATAAAAATGTTTGGGAGGGATATTTACTGACATGAATAAGACTGTGCATAAATGTATCTGAGATCCTAAGTTTTTAGTGTTGTTTGTTAAAGTGTTTTTTATATGGGAAAGACACAGTATTTTTGTTTAATGTCGCATTTGCTGAGGAAAATACACCAGGTCATATGTCAGACTCCGGGGAAAAAATACACTGTCATTTAAATCCACAGTCGCATAATTTTTCCTTTCCTACTTAGGCACATGGATAATAGTTTGAAAAAACAACAACAACAAAAGTGTCCAATACACAGAGCACCTTTGTCTCTCTAATACACAGAGCATCCCCAATAACATTTCTTGCCAGCATGAGACTTTGTATGTCACGTCAGCGCCATCCCAACTTGGATGAACTCTGGAAGCGTTTGTCACTGCTATGCACTCCTCTCACAGAAGTGTTTGAGCAAGCTATAAAGCAACACAAATCATCAAGCACTCTGGTGGGGAGGCCTCATCAATCCAGGCCCTTTGGGAAATGAGTATCAGTCGGTTCAGAGGATTGCCAGCAAACGGTTTTGAAAGAGGCTTGTATAAGGCAATAAAGGCACACATCAGATCTTTAAATACTCAAGGGGCTCTGCAGGGGCATTTCTTCAGGAACAGGGAACTGTTTTATCTTAAGTTTCTTCAGAAAGACCTTGCACTTTTAACTGTGCTTGTGAGTATCTTCTGACTATCCTTCATCGGGCTGTATCTAGATGGATAATTCACAACTCTTTCAAGCTATAGCTCTTTGTAGTAAAAGTGAAATTAAATCACCCAGTCGAGACTAAGGGCTTTGTGAGAAGGATCAAGGGGTTGTGAAGAAGCAGCTGAAGGAGATGCCCTCCTTCTCCTGCCGGCACAAAACTCTGGGCAGCATTTCAGGGGCTGTCCTGCAGTTATGTCCTGGTCTCCAACATGACCAGAAATCCAGATTCCTGGGTAGATAGTCACAGGACCCAATCTAAATATTTTTTTGTCCCAATTGATAGCTGGGATGTACTTGGATATTATGGAATAATACACGTATTTTTCAGATGCTGCACTTTAATTAATGTGGAAGAGACTGACACTGAGCAAGCACTGCCTGACAAGTAAGCAAGTAGAGCGTGTCCACCCATGTGCATGTGAGTTTGGAACTCGGGAGGGCAGGACAGCCAGAGACCTAGTTCTTCATGCAGTACAGGTCCATGCTAAGCAAGTTTCCTGGGGGACCACTTTGGTTATGCCTGGGCTTGGATCTCCAGCATCCCTTGATCCTGGGCGTGTCCCTTGTCCCTGCAGCACAGAAGCTGCAGGGTACTGACAGGCAGCCCCTAGAGCCACAGCTCAACCTGCCTCCAGCCTTTCCATGTGCTACCTAGGCCAGAAATTCCCATCTGTAATGCAGGAGGCAGCCCAGCTTTGCCCCTCTTTGACACTATTCAGTGATTACACAGTCCTTTTGATCTGCAGAAGTCTCTGATGTGTTACTATTCACCAGTTTTGAGGGAGACACACCAGGGACATCACCAAGCGAAAAAGATTGGCATTGCATCACTTGTGATGTTAAAAGTTAGAAGGTTCTCCCCAGTGAAAGGATAGAGCAATGCTAAAACTAACAAGGCCCTGACATCTCCTTCCTAATGCCATATTCTCTACCTACTGTGGGAACAATGATCACTCAGAGTGAATATTTTGGGTAGCAAAGGTCCTGTGTGCCTTAATATTATTTATGTCTACTTTCCTCCAGCGGTCTTTTTGCTCAGGGTTGTGATTTATGTTGCTTTTACCCCAGCTGCGCAGAGAGATCCTTTGATGGATTACAATCTCGGCAAACTCCAACGCAAGAAGAAGAATGACAGCTAAGACACTTAAACCAGACTTTTCACCGTCCTGGAAAGGAACTGGCTCCCAGAATTTGGAGTTTTTTTAATACTCTACCTCCCTCTGCTGTTACCAGCGAGAAGTTCCTCGACAATGGGAAATCATGTACTCGCGGCTTCGATTTCCATGCTCTCGCTCCTGGCGATGATGGGAGACACGGACAGTAAAACAGACAGTTCCTTCATGATCGACTCCGACCCCAGCCGCTGTATGAGGCACCACTACGTCGACTCCATCACCCACCCCCTCTACAAGTGTAGCTCCAAGGTAAGCCTTTCCCTCACCTCCTCGCAGCAGCTGCACCAGAGGAGTTGTTAAAATGAACCATTCTGGGTGATTTTCTCTGTGTAAATTCCTATCTACCAAACTCTAGCTTGTAGAGACTTAGGAATGTGGAGACATCTTGTACCTACATAAGAATTGGAGCTCTCTTTTCACTTTTTCAAAAGGAGAAACACACCACACATGCAGTAAATGCTAAGATTCGAAGGGATCTAAGAGTGAATGCTATGGATTCATTTGGGGTCTCAGCTGAGGGTGCCAAGGAGATAGGCTAGTTTGGAAGTTTAGATCATCCCAATCACCCCCTCCTTCAAATGAGCCTTTATTATGGAACATGTAAATTTGTGACTTTAGGGGTGAAGCACTGAGGTAAAGAACCAAGCTGTAAAATGGTAGTTAACAAAGATTGTGAAGAACATTGCTTATTTCCTCCCTGCCCCCCACTTAACTTCAGGACTTTATTGTCATGCAGAACGACACTTGGGTGTTTTCTGGAGGGCTTAGGAGCAGACAGAAATACAAGATTGCCTTTCATTTGGGATTTCAAGCCTGAAAAGTTTTGTGTCAAAATGGTTTACAAGCCTGCACATGTAGCCTACAGCCATTTATTTCATTGCACGGAGAAGAAGAATGGGGGGAAACAATGGGAAAATCCTTGCTGGTCCCTTTCGTCCTGTCCTAATTCATTCCATCTGGGTCAATACAGTCTGTACATTCAGGGAACTACTGCCAGAGCCAATGCTCCTGCCAGCCCTGCATTGGGCAAGAGAGTGATGGGAGGCAGAGATGTGACAGAGGGGTGCCTGCCGTGTTGCCTGATGGAAAACCCCAGCAGCAGCAGGGATCCTGGGAGCCTTAACAAGGAGAGAGGATCCAAGCAGTTGAGACGGATGCAGTGGTGGCTGCGGACACGCCCAGATGCTTTGCATGCAGAACGAGGCACGTTGCTCCTCGTGGTCAGTGCAGGGGTGAGGCAATTCCATAGGTAACAGCAAATCATAAAACTTAAAATGGAACACAGAGAGAAAGTACAACCTGCTGGGTGCTCTGTGCCCACCCTGTGCACCAGGACAGCTGCTGCCCTCACCATGCCCCTTCAACCAGGCTTTTCCTGTGCCTGCTCACCGGAGAGGGGCTGATAGCCTCAAAATTGGGCAGAGGGAAAAGCCCTGCTCTGGGCTGCCTTACAGTGATCTCTCAGCAGTGTTGTCTGCCTCACTTCGCCTGATTCACAGCAGTAGGAACCCACAGACTTTTTCCCTACTGCTTCTGAATCCAACCACTAAAATCATGCACTACTTGTGATTCAGGAGAGGTCTTTTGATTTGCTTTTAGCCTAGACTAGACCTTCTTACCATCTGGGGCACATCCGGCATTAACACACAGAACTGCAGAGGTGCATCTGTCTGTGCAATATTGATTTTATTGCAGTTGACTCCAGCGAGAGGCAAAGCTGGTACGTGTAGGTGTTTGGGTGGGTTTTACTTACTGGTATGTGGGTGCTCCCAGTCCTCCCTTCTCTGGGCACTTCAGATAATCAGTTAGACCCGAGGACCCTGAGCTGTCCTGATGGTTTGGTGCAGGAGGGCAATGCTCCACCCAGCTGCCTTCACTCTCCACTCCCTGCTCTGCCAGAGGTCAAAGGCTTTTGCTCCTCAGCTGGCTGTCCTGGCAGAGGCTTTTAGGATGATTGTGTTAGGTGGGGTCTCCTCCCTAGTCCAGGAGCTGTGATTGCATCTGTTCAGGACTCTGTCTGCCTGATGGCTGGGAGGTGCCACTGCCTCGCTGAGTGCCTGCCTTCTTTGCTCCAACATTGCCACCACCACCCTCTGAGTTTTTCTTAAAACTCTGACTGCCATAGATCACAAACAGAGGGTTATTTTTCTGAAAAAAAGAACAATAGGAAGGACGGAAGGAAGGATGGAAGGACGGAAGGAAGGATGGAAGGACGGACGGAAGGAAGGAAGAAAGGAACCCATCAAGAATTCTGTTTCTTAGCATCCCTAATGATAGAGAAAAACTATCAGGCCTTTAGGAGTGGAACTGATGGAAATGAGAACACAGAATGCTATTGTAATGAAAACCATATTATTTCAAAAACTGAACTTTGAGAAAAAAAGCTGTTGACATAAACATTTGCAATTCTGGCTGGAGAAGTCAGTGATTTTTTTAAATCAAGCCTTTAATGGAAATCATGTTTGAAAATATTATCACATCTTTTGGCTTCCCAAATTCCACAATGGTTTCAAGAACATTTTTTAAACAATATTGCAAGTTGTGTGGACTTTCTCATGAAGTAGAAAATGAAAACAGTTTCCATAAAAAGTGAAGTGATTTTGACATTTCCTAGAAAACTCCATTAAATGAAGCTTCTCTTTCTTTTTTTTTTTTTTAAAGTCTCAGGCATCTGAATCATCCTGGTAGACATATGGCTTCTGTTCTGGATCTAGTGTATAAACACAGATGAATATTAGACTTGTTAATGAAAACTAGATGCAATGTCTGTTCATATATCTATATAATGACAAAATGTAAATAAGTAAAAAAATTGAAGGTTCTGTGGGAATTGCGGTACCTCTTGTTTTCACCAAGTTTCCATTGTGAAGCTTGGGATGACAATGCCAAGTAGAGGCTTTGCCCTTTTTTGGGGTGATATATTAGTTTCACTGAGGCATCCTTTTTTACTCCTTATGTTTTCCCTCTTAGTGCAGCATAGAATTACAGAAGACAAAAATTACCTCAGAAATTGCAAGATATATTATGTTTGCTGTCCATCCTGATTAAAAAAGGATTATGTCCACTGTGCTTCTCTGTGGAGGCTGCCAATAGTATCCACACGGGAAGCAGTTCTGTTAAACATCCAGCCAATATAATTTAATCATTAAAATCCCTTTTGCTTGTGGCCTCAGGCAGGTGATGAAAACAGTTTTCCAAAGCCTTCAAAAACGTGGTCCATTACAGTGTAAAAGAGACACAAAAGAGGGATGGAAGAAGGCCATTTGTTCCTGAAAAACAGTGTTTTCCTTTGACTTCAAGGAAATGTTTGTATCAGTTCGTGAGGTGTTGTCTTTCCTGACCGCACTGGATTCTGCCTGACCTCTGTCATGGAGACCCACTGGTCTTCATCCATGTGCTGGATTGCCTCTCTGCTGCAACCAGAGCCTCCTAAATTACAGTTTTGGCTGTCACAAGTGCTTTGTCCAGATGTGCCAGAAGTGTGCTACCACTGACAGCCTCGCACTAAAGAATCCAGCCCAGAGAGACACAGACCAGATGAAGAGAGATTTAGCAGATGTTTGAAGGCTCATGAGGTAGCTCAGGAGATTTTCAGTAATGCCTGCTTGCAGCCAGGCCATGGATACTGCGTGAAAATCTGTTCTCATGCGCCTCAGCCCATCTGCTATTGCTGAAGAAGAGCAGAAAAGAGGACTACAAACACCATGAATAACAAACCAGTTCACAGCTTCTGGGTTTCCAGAGTTCAGTTCAAATGATCAGAATCAAATATTGCCTCAGGTTGCTTTCTTTTGTACCTATGAGTTGACTTCAAGTAAGAAAACTTATTCTTCCATGTTCATAGATCCACGTGGTCCCCTTGTTGTAGGACTTCTTCTGGATCCAGCATCACAAGGTGACACACACAAGCTCACATGTGCAGGGGATGAGGGGAGCCAAGAGGCACATGTATCAGGTTATAAAATACAAATACCCACACGTTTTTACTATATATACACCCCCTGTAATACTGTGCTATGCCATCACAGCATTACTAATTATTTAGGTGATAATCTCTATTGCACTGCAGTACACCATGCAATAAGCAGCTGGTGCAATTGATTAAATGGCAAAGCAAAGCTTTTAAAGTACATGCTATTTCCAGCTCATTTGCACACCTGCCAGAATCCACTGGTGCTGTTCTGGATTTATGAGGAGGAGGAGGTTAAATTTTGCTGAGGACTTTGGGTTAGTCCAGAAGGTTAGAAAGCTATAAAAATGGGAAATTTGGATTTCTTTTAATCCTGCAAGTTTGACTTGATACCCTTGGTGCTGTGCCATTTGTAAGAGTTTTCAATGTCATCCAAAAATGAGGCATAAACCCAACTCTGTAATGTTACATTATATGAACATTGACCACCATCTTATGAAAAATTAATTGGCCAGAAAAATTTGAGATTAAAATTAGAGCCTCCACAGACTAAAACAAGTTTTTTAAGACAAGGCTTGCTAAGCAATTATAAATGCAGCAGCACACTGAATAAATATTGTCTGGGTTTGCATTAGGGAAGCAGCTGTTTATGAGAAATGTATTGAGACAAAAATATGGACACATCAGATAATTCTGCCCTATAATTACACTGCTACAGCTCTTCTGTAGCCCTTAATTCTGTTTCTTGGGGATTTGTTTTTTTTTTTTTCCCCTGGCCTTCCTGAAAATACCTGTGGATACAGGAGCAGATGTGTGCCATGAAAAGCCCTCAGGGTAGCAGTACCAGAAGACACTGGTTGTTCCAGTTCCAGAAGCATTGGCCACTCGAAGTCACCTTGACCACACTGTCATATTTGGGCTGAAATCATAGGAATGATTGGTTGGAAAGGACTCTGGAGTTCCTCTGAACCTCTGGAAAAGCAACTCCTGGCTGCTGCACATCCCCCTTTGCCACTGCTGAGGAGAGTTCTGCTCTGTTGCCTTTCTCAGCTGCCTTTAGATTGCTCTTCACCCTCCTCTTTATTCCCAAATCTTTGGGAATAGCCTGTGACAGAGGTCTGGTGAACTGCTCTGGTGAGCTGGTCAAAGCAGGGGACCTAACAAGACCTGTCAAAATGCTGGAAAGGAAACCAGCTGGTTTAAACATCCTAATCTGCTGCCTTTCCTTTGCAAGGCAGGCAGGATTAGATACCTGTGTATCTGGTATCTAACTAAATACCCTCAGCAGTCATCTGCCTGGGAAGTGAGTTTTGTTTACCAAGGGGAAATAAATGGACCTTTATCTGACATTAATGGGGTGCTAGCACTGTAAGGATTGTCTGTTTCCCTCTTCTCTATACTCTAAAGAAACTGGTGTTAAGGAGCTTGACATAGCTAAAGCTTGGGTGTGACTCAACAGTACACTGACATTTTCTTCCCACAATATTATTACTAACAGCTGCAGTTAATTTATTTATGAATATACAGTATCACAGGAAGGAGATCATAAATTTCTGCTACAACTCATAAAGGATGGAAAATTTGTCACGGAGCAATAAGAACCCATCTCTTAATTTAACCAAGAAACAAGATGGTACCCATCACAGATCATCAGCTCATGAAGACATCTTCCTTGTGATCTGTCTGTGTTGAGTGGAATTGTTAATATATGAATACATTTCTAAGCAAAGCATTTAGCATACAAGTACCCTTGGAAGAGTAATTTTTAAGCACTGTACAATGGATGATCAGTGCCTTTCCCATGGACACAGACAGTGCTGGCATTTCCTACTTGATATTAGGAATATTCTCTCTCTTTTTATCCAGTCTTTCCTTATGACTCCAACTAAAGAGAAAATCCAACACTTGACATACCTGCTTGTATAACTTGGAGATTTGCACTCAAATGAACATGTGTAGTGAAAGAAGCCACAAAGGGTTTAACATGGTAAAATATTTGGTGTCACATCTGTAGTAATCCATTTGGATTGTCTGGAAAAAAACATGAGATTTGTGCAGCATGGTGAAAATGTAATGTTCTTGCCTAATTATAGGAAAGACAACTGTTTCACTGCTTACTTTGGATGATATAATAAGCTGATTTTGAGGTTTATGTTGGTTGAGCAGAATTAGCCAATATGGACTTCATATTTCTGTCCCCATGAAAGTGTAAGAGTTTTTTCAGACTTCTACAACACTTACCCATTATCAAGGTGGCAATAGTTGTTTCTAACACATAATTTCCTGAGCTTTAGAGGATCCTTTCAAGATTTATATAGTGCTTAATGTTCTATCCATCTCCTCTGCATGGACTTTCCTTCCTTAGTGCCTCCTGTTGTGGAAATTCCCTTGTTATGGTCACAGCTCAGATGGTGAACTCAGAAGGAGAAGAAACATGGAGCCTGCACTGTTTTTGGAAAATCTCACTAGGGAACCCTCATATTTGGCTACAAGTTCATCTTTATTTTACATTTGCACTGCCTTATGCCATGCGATGCACTTTACACAGATACAGCTGATGCAATGATATAGATATATATACACACATATAATTGCAAATACATATTCAAGGTGATATTTGTAAAAGGAGAGAGCTAGAAACTTCTTTAAAGCAATAAACTGAACATCTTCTTTATATTTCTACTTTATGTGTTCATATATCCAAGAATCTGAGACATTTTCACGAGTATACACACTCAAAACGTTGAAGTATCAGTCTGGCTGATGATTTAAGGGCTTGGCTGACACAAATCTGGGGTCAGCAAGTCACAGTTGCAGCCACAGGGTGGTTGGCTGTGATCATTTGAAGTCCTGAAGTCACTCCACGTCCTGTTGTCCTCATTGGTGTCAGTGCCAGGGACTCCAGGAGGAGTCCTTGCTTTCCCTGCTGCCCGTGTTGTCTCCTCCGCTCTCTCAGGCACAGCTCAGAGGCAAAAGCACTGCGCGGGGCTGGGTGCCCTCACCAGCCTGGCGGGATGCAGTGACAAAAAACCAGCCAGGCTGGAAGGCGGTAGCCATCTGCTGGTGTTCCCTGTGCTCCAGCAGCCGGGAGGGGGGCACGTTTCCTAACTCGTGCTTCTTTTCCTTTGCAGATGGTGCTGCTGGCTCGCTGCGAGGGGCGCTGCAGCCAGACGTCGCGCTCGGAGCCGATGGTGTCCTTCAGCACGGTGCTGAAGCAGCCCTTCCGCTCCACCTGCCACTGCTGCCGCCCCCAGACCTCCAAGCTGAAGGCCATGAGGCTGCGGTGCTCGGGGGGCATGCGGCTCACGGCCACCTACCGCTACATCCTCTCCTGCCACTGCGAGGAGTGCAACTCCTAGGGGCGCGGTGCCGCAGCAGGGAGGGGACTGGCGTGCTGCCGATGGGAAAGGCTCCCGAGAAACAATCCAGAGTCAAGCCGATGCTCCCGGCACAGGACTGCAGCGAGGACAGGACTAACCAAGCTGGATTGGATCCGAGAGCCGAAGCGCAAAATACCCTGGGGTGCTGGATGGCGGATGCCGGTACCACGGTGTACTAAGGTGAAAGCGCGAGGACTTGTTTTTGAGAAGCCTTTCTTTTTTTCTGAAAGGATATTTTCGAGAGTTTCTTCTTTTTCAGGCTCAGCTCTGACTACAGAGCTTTTACTGCTGGCCATGGTCAGCTGGATGACAGCACTGAGCTCTGGAAGTTGACGTTTGGACAGAGGATGGGCGTCAGTTCCCACATACAACCTCTTAACCTATCAATTTATTTTCAGTTTCCTACTTATACTGGCCTTCAAAACAAACTGCGCCGTTGGCAAGGGTCATCTATTACTGATCTAGCAGCCAAGTGCTGGATGACTTTAACTGTGGTTTAGCAGAAATTACAAATAAACCATTGAAAAGTAAACTGAATCTGAAATGCCATGCTGGGAATACCCAACCCTAGCCAGCTGAAATGATTATTTGCACCATGTGTCATCAGAGTTCAGTGTCTGAGTGACTCTTGAGAAGTGAAAGGTCATGAAACTCACTATTACCCTCTAAAAGCCTAGGAAGGTGACACATCACATCTGTCACAAAAGCCATTATTCAGCCTTCAAAAACTAATCAGATATTAAAATACCACATACTAAATGCAGACATTTCTTAACTTTACTTAGACATATACATGTACAGAACCAGAGCCACCAAAACAATGACTAAACCTAGGACTTATTTTCATCTATAGCTCTTAGACCATTGAGCAAATACCATTATACCTTTTAAAGGCAGACAATCCCAAACACAGGGGAATCACATCGATGTCCCCGTAGGAAGTTCAAGGCAGAGTCTGAGTCCCAGTGTTATCCACTCAATCGCAAGGGCTGTGTTTCAATTTACCTAATGATCTGCTGCTACTTGGTGTCCTGTCTGACTTGCCATTAGGCTTGGCAGCTGGTCCCTATGGCCGGGACATCAGAGCTGTGGGGTGCTGCAGGGCAGGGGTAGCCAGTGGTTCTCTGTAAGAAGTGAGGCCGTGAGCTGCTTTCCCCTGCAGGACCATTGCAGAAAGAAATGCCTCGAGGAGCTGAATGAATTGCAGCGTTCAGTAGGGCATAAGGATCTCAAAATGACAGGGGATCCGAAGTTTGGGAATGGTATTTGGTATTTGTAGAGAAACTCTGTCCCTCCTCCATTAATGTGAGATGTTACAGAAGGTTCACTTACAGTCTCTTGTGACTGCAAGGAAACAGTATAACTGTTCTTATCTAAGACTGCAGTTCTTATCTTCTTAAATGGCTGCACATCCACTCAGCCAGCAGTATGTCCCTGATGTTCACATAAAACCAGCGGAGCCATTGTTTTGATAGAAGTCATGAAGGTGTTGAGAGCACCTCTGCTGTGTAAGGATTCACGGTCTGTAGCCCCCGCGTGCACAGTCCCACAGTTATTCCCTGGGATAGGCTGGATTGGTTCCCATGCACAGCAACACCTTTAGGGTTCAGTCCATCTGTTCAACACCATCCAGTCTGCCTGCAGCAAATGCCATATGCAGGAGCTCAGGGATGCACACTGCCATTGCAGGGAACCCCCAAGGCCAGTCCTCCTGTGGTTACATTGGGATTACAGTCCTCCTGTGGTCTACAGTGGGGTTACTGTCCTGTGGTCTACATTGGAGTTACTGTGGCTGCTCAGGCAATGCCAAATTCCTTTGCCTCTGCCACCTGATGGTGAATATGCATGGGATGTGAATGCAGAGGTGACAGACACTGGTCTTGCAAGTCAAATCCTGGAGTAGGATGGCAGTCAGTAGTGGAGAGCGATGAGGGACAGGTATGACTGCAGACACCAGCTAAAGAGGTTTGTGATTCACGGGAAGGGCTGTCTCTGTCTTCTGGAGATGGCTCTGGAGATGGCCATTTTTCAACGCCACAGAGCTGTGGGCAAACAAAAGGGTGAATCAAAGCGCTGGAAGCCGAGGGGCTCAGATTAAAATGTCAAATCCAGGAGTGATGAGCCCCAGTGAGCTCATTAGACACCATGCACTGTTTCAGGACTGTCAGTCATTCTTCTCACATCTGAGGCATGGTCTGAACATCAAAGGGCGAGCGAAGGGAGCGTGAGCTGGGCATTATCACCAGACTACTTTATATGAAAGATCATATGTGCGTCCCTTTTCCACTCTCTTTCAACCTCCAGCATCTAAAGATCCCATTATCCAAAAAAGCGCCACCCCCTACTGTTAATTATATATAGAAAATTCCAGTCCTTATCTGAAACATCAGCAATACCTTTGATAACCAAATAACTGTATTGCAAAGTATGCATGACCTCTAAGCACGAGGCTATAGAGGTTGCTGCACACAAGCAGAGCTATGCAGTTGTCTAAGGAACTGGGAATGTTTGGAGGGTCACTGCTATATCCAGCATCACCTCCCCCTGGGTCAGGCTGCCACTGGTCTGCTGTGCCAGTGCAAAATGAGGGGGCTGTGATATGAAATTTGGGTGCAGTTTGCAGCACTCCTGCATGGCTAGGCTGGTTGGATAGGACATGGCAGGACAGCGTGGCCCTGACCGTGGTCCTCTGGTGAGGAGAGAGGAGGGGGTTGAGCACAGGCCATGCCAGAGAGATTTAGCAGAAAAGAGAATATTTACAGTGAGACAAGAGCTTGGATGGTATTTATTCCCACATCCCCTTGCTAACACAGTGCCAGAGCTATATTTGCTCAAAGAGGTCCCACAGAAGATATTTGTGTTTCAACAAAAGCTTTTTTCCCCCTCTCACCCTCCACATTCCTTCCACTTCTGCTTGGTTCCTCTAATGAAATCATCACCCTGTGGCCTCAAAGGCTGTTGCCAGGCATAAATGTTGAGGTGAATTCAACATTATCTAATTGAACTGCTGAGTTGAATAAATGCATGGAAAGAATATAACAGAAATTATGAATGACAAGACAAAACATACTTGTAAATAGCTAGACCTTGATATTAAACAATGAATCAAACTTTCAAATTCTCCTTTTGGCTTTGTCAGGCAATCTTCATATTAACATGTCAAAAAAGAGGAGCTATCCTTCAAAACCAAGTGCCCCAAAGTCAGTTGTAAATCTATATTTTGATACCTTTTTTTTTGTCAGCATTTTAGGCAACTAAGTGCTGACTGAAGCACACAGGTGCTACCTATGGTAAAATTCAGGCAGTGTATTGAGGCAAACAGAGCAAACGAGGCTTTGGGTAAAAACTACAGGATCTGGCTCATATTGAAAAAGAATCTAAATAATGCTTGGAGACGAACTGGCTTCCTGATTTATTAGTCTGACACCACTCTGGATACTTAAGCTCTGTTTTTCAAGTCAGAATACTGTGTAAGTGCTTCTTAAATTGAACAACAGGGAGGACAATGCCCAGTTTTTTAGCTAATGTTGTGGGGCTTTTTCTTTGCTAAAGCATCCTCTTGCTGGGACTCGAATGAGAAGGCTTTGTCCTTTTTTTCCCCCTCACTGCACCTCATCCTTCAGGCACTGCCTTCCCCTGCAGAAAGGCTGGTTCAGCTGTGATCATCCTGTGGTTTGCTCAGGATGAGATGTGATACAGAGTTTTGACTATTGCCACCCTTATGCCCTCCTTTCTTTTGATTAAGTTTCTGAGTCCAGCTTGGCTTTTGAAAGCTGCCTGTCCCCAGCAGTGGTGGTGTTACTATTCAGCTGGATTGACTGTACTCATGGAGACCAGAGGATAACACCAGAGCTTTGGTGGTACCCTCTGGTTGTAAGAAAAGCCTTATAATGCCACTGCAGCTTGTGCCATTCAGAAATAATCTGTGATTTACCTGAACAAAAGAGCCCATGGCCCATCACATTTTATTTATTCTGCTCCCAGCTTCAGTGGGTCTGTTAAGCACTCAAAGCTGCACAGACACAAAACCAGTTTGCTGGTTCAACCTTTGTTTGGATCACTAAACTGAAGAACTCACTGAGTTCTTGGAGATGTGGCCCCTGATTTTCCTTACACCACCTCACACTGCTTGCTGAGCTTGAAGAACTGCTGCAAGACAAAGAGTTCCTGAGCCTGAATGTCTCCCAGTGGCCTTTATCAGGGCTTTTGTAAGCCACTGTCACAGGGCTCAAGGCAGTAAAGGAGAGGCCAAATTTGCTGACATCCTGGGAACACCACAGCCTGTGCTGGGCTTTCATATGAGCCTTAGCTGAGACCTGTCCACCAAGTCCTTGCAGATCAACCATGAAGCCCTGAAGCTCAGGCAGCACCGTGTAAGTTGTAACCAGAATATTTTTGTGAAAGAGGAGAGAAATAAAAGAGGTTACTGTCCTATAGGAATCGTCTGCTGCTCTGCTGCTCTGTGTGTCTAACTTCAGTTCTAAGTCTCTCATGTGAGAAAAGAGAGGCCTCTGAGCTCCCTCCTGTGGATAAGTGTTTTTTCAGTAACTAATCCTACATGTTTAAAGACAGTAGTACTGAAATTGGGATTAAACCCTCTAGGAACCGCAGTTCTGCTTGGTAAAGAATTTTTCCTCTGACTTGGGCCCTAAGTATTTTTGAAAAATCCAAATATACCATTAAAAAAAAGTCAGTGTAAGGGGAGGGGGCTGGTGGTGTGTCTTATTTTCTCTGACTCTGGAAGTATTTAGAAGACAGGGGGCTGATAGCCTTCTCAGATAGATTGCATTATAGCTAACAGGCCAGAGAGACCTCTATCTGAAACTGTGAGGATGGAAATGTCCCAGGTAGGTGTCTGAGTGTATTAGAGATTAAATTTGAAGAATTCACACAAATAATATTGAATACACATTTAAAGTATTTCAGCTGTTGAGATGATGTCCTCACTGCCTGCTTTGTTCTTTGAAAATGCCATAAAAATACTTTTGCAGAACTTAAACATTCACAAGGGCAACATTCAGCTCCACAGCTTCACTAGGGTGCAGTTTGGTACTATTAGAAGTAATAACTCTTGATCCCTGTGTCATATTCCTGTGTTTATGCACATGTATGTATATGCACGAAACAAGGCTCCATTTCACGGGCATCTCTCTTCAGCCTCATGTCCTTCTACCATTTCCAAAAGCCTGGAGAGGAGCAGAGACCTCTCCTGGACCCTCCCACCAATCTTAGAAAGCAGCTATTTTCTACCACTGTTTGCAAGATGGACAAAATTTAGCAAGCAGTTGGCCTGAATCACTCTTCATTCTCCTGAAGGGAGACATCCCAGTAGGTGCCCAAATCCTCCTGAGCCCCTCATCTGACTGCTCAAATACAGCTCTGTGGTCACACCAGGGGTCACTTGTTGGAGCCAAATAAATATTCCAGGCATAAAGTTCTGTTGCTCCTTGTAGAAAAAGGATCAGGGTGATCCCATACATAGCTACGTGGCTGTGTTTGTTCTTTTCATCTGTGCTTTGTGTGGGTCTCATTTATTAAATTGCAGACCTTCCCAACTCTTGTCTTGATCCCTTTAGAGTATTGACAAAGAGATTATCGGCACTTTAACAAACTTGTTTTATGGTGTTTAGAAATTATGCCATTTCTCATCTCTGGAATAATATTTAAAAAGTTAGTTCTCTTCTACAGACTGTAACTGAGAAAAAAATTCATAAGAAGATGAAACACAGTAGAGGACACTTGGGGGAAGTAAGACACCATATTCTACACTGATGAAATGACAGTAAGGGATTTTCTTTAGCCCAAAAAAAAATCCCATAATTAATACTTAATTGAATAAACACTAAGTGAATTCTGAGAGGGATCTTTCAAAGGTGCTTAATATTGATGTGACTCCACTTTCATTCACACAGAAGGAGAGAAATCAGCAACTTCAGTGAGAATAAAGCCTGGCCAGCACCATAGAGCCTCATGCCTAAGGGTGATGGGGGAGGCAAGGAGGGAAGGATCCACTCCTTCAAAAAACCTGCTCAGGATATTGGCAGTCCTCAGCATGAGATGTTGCCGAGTCAGCTGCCCTTGACTGAGGAAAACACAGAGTTACACTTGTTTTCTTCATCCCTTTTGCCTGCCTTGCTCCTCCTCACCCACCCTGCACCTCTTAACATGTGGAAACCATCATGCTGCTGGAATCCCACTGCTAATGTCAGATGTATCTCCACACTGTCCAAACATTCCCAGTGACTGGAAATACGACCTGCTGCAGCAAGACTGTGCAAACTTTAAAGTGATTCTAATTTTATATGAGCTAGATATGTTCAAATATTACCACTCCAGGGACTACAGTTACTACTGCCTCACAAATTTCATTCCTTTGATGCACAAGAGAGTCCCTGCACTGGGAGAACCCATTCCCATGCTCCCTAATTTCTTCCATGCTGTTTCTTTGTTTATATTTGATGCTGCCTTTCAGGCCTTGAACAATGAGAAGCATGCAGTCCAGTGCTCTTGGTCTGCACTTTCCCATTTGGAAACAGCCTCAGGGAGGGAAATATATGTGCTAATTCTGGCTTTTCATCTGCAGGCACCATGAACTTCAGAACACTGGGGCTATTTTGTGACCTGGCATTGGAAACTCACTTCTGACTACTTTGTGACATTTTTTCCCTTTAACTGTAATGTTAGGTATAGGAATGTGATGTGCACACACACACAGGGAAGATGGGACTGCATTTATTCTAGGATGTGAAAAGCTGTAGTTTCAAGCTTTGACTTTGGGTAGTCACAGCTTTGTGGGAAATTATTTATATTACAGTCTTTCAATGAGTTAGAGAAACACACACAACTCTAATATATTCGTAAATACATGGTTATGCATTTAAACCTCAATAGTGCCACAGTTGTCAGACAAAATAACTGCACAAATGACCTTGAAAATCTTAAAATAAAAGGTGATAAATAGAAAATAATGGTAGGTCAGCAGCACACCTGGCTGCAGTGGAGGCAAAGAGCATTACTGACTGCTCCTACATTTTGCTGAGTAACCTGCACTTTTCCCTGGAGGTGGAGCACAGTGTGAGCTCAGGCATGATGAAATCCCTGTAAGTTCCTCCTCCCTTTCTGGGAGAGTGCTGGGGCCGGGGCTGAGCCTTTAGGTGGAGCTCACTTACCGCTGCTTTTCCTGTTGGACACTGCCGGCCTGGGTCAGCCCAGCAAGGAGAGAGATAGGAAGGCAGAATTTTGCAGGATGAGTGAGGTATCAGAGACTCTTTGTGTAACCCCACACAGCCAGAGAAACTCCCTTCAGGTCTACCTCCATCTAAAGGGATCCCGCAGACCTTCAGCTGCAGAATGAGACACAGCATGGCCCAGGAGCACGGGACAGTGGATGCATCTGGCACATTTTACTGGATGGCTGAAGAAGGCTGCACTGGGATGTGGGACAGGGGGGCTGTGTGACAGGGACAGGAGGGCCATGCACAAGTGGCATGCAGTGGAAAGCACAAAGGAGCAGGTTTCTTTGCAAGGTTTGTGCTCAGCATGGAAAAAGGGCCACAAACTGTGTGTTTCCCAGTTCTTCCCATCCTTTCTCTGAGACCTAGTGGGCTGGAGAGTAGGTAGAAATGAGTGGAAGAAAGCTCTATGCTTGCAACAAACCACAAATCAGTGAACTGTAATTAAGTCACATGTGAGGGCTTGCAATTTTGTCTAACAGAGCCAGGCTTGTAAAAGCCCTGTTTATTTCACACTGTAAAAATGACAGCAGGCATCACAAGCAGGGCCTGTGTCAGCTTAGGAGGATGAAGAATGAGGGTATCCTTGATAGCACCAGGGTACAGCTCTGGACAGCAGAAGGGGACAGGAAAGGTCTGTAAACCTGCAAAACATGAAAAGAATAAATCATTATGAAGGTAAGCATTAGTAATTAGCAAACACTAATAAAGATGATCTCATAGGTCAGTTAGGAAGACTTACTACCCCTTTCAAATGATCACTACCCACTACTGTAAGTAGTTACTGAGATCAGAAATAAAGAATTCCACTGCTGGAGCATTACTCCTAGTTATACTAAATATTATCCTTCTCTCTGTTTTTCTTCTGCAGTCCAAAAAAGTGTAACAAAACATGAGTGGAACATACTGAATACAGCATATTATCCTGTGTGTCATGTAGAATTCAGCAGGTAGGGTTTGGCTCACGGGTCAAGGCACCCAGAATCAGGCCTATGTCTAAATTCCCACTAGCGTTTGTGGAGATCCAGGTGAAATGACTGAGTTTGGAGTCAACTCACCTGATTGGATATTTAATGTATACTTCTGGGTGAGTTGAATAGCCTTCTAGAATTAATTGACTGTCCTGACTAAGTCTTTGTGGATTATAACAGGAGACTGGACAGCTACTGAATAGGTAGACAGTCTTAATCTGCAAGATGAATTAATATATTTCTTTCCTCAAAAAAACCCAACCAACCAACCAAAAAAAACCCCAAAAAACCAAAAAAAACCACAAACAAACAAACCAAAACAAACCAAAAACCAAACCAAACCAAACCAAATCAAACCAAACCCAAATCCAAACAATTCCATTACTCTAATTTATTACTTCTACAATAATTCTTATGGAAGAAAGGCACAAATGCAGATCAATATACTATATAGACAAAAAAGGACAATTTTAATTCAAAGAACCCAGACCCATGTATAACTGCACAGCAGCTGTGGGGATCAATGGGAATCACAGAGATGCTCTTAACATAGCCTGTCTAGTGATATCCTCACAAATAAAATGAGGAAACATGGTCTAAAGGGATCTTCTGAGAGGTGAGTAACCAGCTCCTTTCAGAGAGCAGCTACTAGTAAACATTGTCAAAATGGGAGATTACATCCCTTGAGGTTCTTCATATTTCCACTGGTGACTGAGATGAGGGAGTAGAGAGGATGCTTACTGTGTTTGCATGTGGCATTAAGCAGTAGGGATTGCAAATACGAATTGGTATTCAAAGCAATCCAGACAAATTGAAGGTACTGCCTAAAGCAAATAGAAGGGAGACCTGAAAGCTGCAGCAGAAAGGAAAGAATAATCAACTGTACAAATATATACCTTCTCCAGGAGGAGATAGGGGGATTATGGTGGGTCACAACAGAGCATAAGTCAACAACATTATGTTGTTATGAGAAAGCTAAATGTGATACCAGGCAGCATCATGAGGTACCCAAAGCAATCTTTCTACTTTATTCAGTGTTTGTGAAGCTTCAGCTGAAATAGTGGCATGAGCTTCAAGCTCAAGAAAGATGTTCACTAACTGGGAGAAAGTATAGAGGAGAGAAATTCAAATAATCAGAGGGCATGAAAACATAGCCTGTAAGAAAGAATTGAAGGAAGTGGGTTGTATAATTCAGAGAAGAGAAGGATGAGGGAAAACATGCTGGAAATATTA